TAAATAATTATCACAGTTGGCCTAGTGTGATGGCTCAACTGGCTAATCTTCAACCCTGCAAGCACAGGGATCCCAAATGGGTGCCGATTTGTGCTCTGGCTGTTCCCCTTCCCATCCAGCGCTCTGCTTGTGGCCTGGGAAAATAGTAGAGGATGGACCAAAGCCTTGGGATCTTGCACCCATGTTGGATATCCAAAGGAAGCTCCAGGTTCCTGGCTTTAGATCGGTTCAGATCCTGGCTGTTGTAGCCACTTGGGGAATGAACCAGGAGATGGAAGATCCTTCTCTCTGTCTCTTTATCTCTGTCTTTTAAATAAAAATAGGGCCCAGTGTTATAGCGTAGCAGTTAAAGTCCTCGCTTTGAACGCTCCAGGATTCCATATGGGCGCCGGTTCTAATCCCGGCAGCCCCACTTCTCATCTAGCTCCCAGCCTATGGCCTGGGAATGCAGTCAAAGATGGCCCAAAGCCTTGGGACCCTGTACCCATGTGGGAGACCTGGAGGAAGTTCCTGGCTCCTGGCTTCAGATCGGCGCAGTACCAGCTGTTGCAGTCACTTGGGGAGTGAATCATCGGATGGAAGATCTTCCTCTCTGTCTCTCCTCCTCTCTGTATATCTGACTTTGTAATAAAAATAAATGAATCTTTAAAAAAATAAATTAATCTTTTATTAAAAACTACTATAAGCCTGAATACTGTCATTAAAAAATAATTACACAATCAGAACAAAAAATGGAAAAAAAAAAAAAACCACTGAAAACACACTGTAAGCTGCCTCTACCTTCATTCCTTATTTCTCCTCTGGCAGAACTTTGATTTGATTCTGACGTCACTTTTGCGTCACTTCTCACCTTCCCCCTGCTGACTCAAGAGCCAACCGTGCTTCATATAAATTCATCATTTGCTGCCTGGGAGTAACCAATCTGGGTTATGCATGTTAACCAGTTCTCAAGTCTAAAAAAGCGAGAGAAAACCGCTAGAGCCTTCAGGAAAAGTTTCCTTATTTTATGAATGATCTGCTTAGATGGGTGGATAGACAGATGGAAAAGTGAATAACCACAGATTTTTTTTGCTGGGTGAGGGCTCCACACTAACTTTTAGCATCACAAAGCGCAAGGCGCTAAATAAGCTGCATAATTTGAAAGAGAGAAGTATAAATGAAAAATGACCAAGGGTTAGAGCAGATGGATGCTGTAAGTACTACTGCATTACTATAGCGTTCTCTTGATTCTTCCTTGAATAATGGGTGGTGTAGGACAGGGCTGGGAGCTGAAAAGGAAATCCCTGACAAACAACTGGGGAACTCTATGGAAATCCCAAATCACCCTTTCCATCTTGGTCCCCAGAGAAGAACCTCTGCAGGTCCACAAGGAACACAAAAGGGAGGCAGGCAGGCCAAAAAAACTTACTGGCCCACTCTAAAAGCATATTTGTACACTCCGAAGATTAGACAGAATTTTTTCCATGTGTCATGGCAACTACTCTAAGGCCACCAACAATCTTTTCCGATATATCAGACAGCACTGCAGGTTTGAGAACTATTTCAGATGTTCTCCAAGCCCCACCCGCCCTCCACCTAGAGACACATCTTTGTGGCAGATGAGGGACTGGAGTCCGCACTACCTATACTTTTCCCTGCTCCCCCTCTGGCCCAGATGTCAGGCACGACCCATTAGCCCACCTCTCCTTGCTATCTGAGAGGCACCACCCTGTGGTCCCTAAAAGTGCCTGGAATGTGAAGCAGGGCACAGCTCTTCTCCACTCTCTGATTCACCACACATATGGCAGAAGAAAATGACAGTCACCCTCAACTGTCACACTGTGTGCCCTCCCCTAGCTGCTCATCACTCGCACCCTGCTCTCCACTTCCCTGAATCCGAATCATGCTCACCTCCCTTCCGAACTGCCTCAGAACCAAAACCCTCTGGAAGGCACCCAAAAGCACTCTGATCTTTAGGGTTTTTTTCTTTTGAGAGTCAACTTTTATAAAGTAAAATATATTTCTTGCTGATCCATATTTTATCAAAGAGTTGACGCCGTTTTCTCAAAGCATTAAAAAAAAAATCCAACAATAAGCTTGGCTGCAACACAGGCAAGAAGCAGCCACAGCAGACCCACGGCTACACAAGGGACTTTCCTTCACTGGATTTCCCAGGCTGAAAATTCCTGAACTTTCCTCATTAGTGCAATGTGGGCTGAGCTCGTGCACATCAGATTTCATACTAAAAGGGTCCCAGGTGACAAGCAAGACAAAAAAGTAAGCACAAGTGTGGTCCCACTACCAGGAAATCAACTCCAAGTACACATTCCACATGAGGGTTGTCTCTCCAGGCCTGGGAGGGCACAGGTATGTATTTGTCCCAAAGTTCTTCTGTGCTGCACGGTTGTGTATCTGTTCTGTGCTTGCTGCACCACCCAGCACTGAGTGGGTCTCCAATGTGGCTGAAACTGACTTTGGAAAGTGACATGATGGGACATGGGTACCTCCAGGGGACACAGGACAACAGCATTGGCAGGCATACCCTTGGAGAAGCCTCTGGTGTAAGGTGAGCAGCAGGTGCTAAAAGCCAAGTCCCAAAGGAACCCAGCTTAAGGGGCTAGCCTGGCAGCTGGGCTGGAAATCAGGGAGGACGAGCAACCAGGGGACGTGGTACGTGGCCAGCTGTCCACTGAGGACCAGCTCTGACTTGCCAGGGATAAACAGTACCAGGACACACCTGCAGCTCAGAGTAAAAGCAGAGAAAGAAATACAGGTGGAGAATGACACCAAATGTCCTGCGTGACAAAGCAAATTTGCCTTGGGACTATGTAGAGAAAGAATACTTTTCACTTCAGGGTACAACTTTTCCAGCATTGTACCAAAAGCTTTGTGCGTCACAGTAACCAACTTACATTCAGAGCAAAACCAAAACATACCTGGGTTGAGAGTGGCAGGAAAGATGCAAAAGTAAAGCTTATGTATTCCTAATGACTCTTAACACTTCTGAGAAAGATCACTTTGGAGGGCTAAAGGATGGGACATTTGTGCACAAATACAGGCAAACACACAACAAGGCACCGCCCACCCACACCCACACCTCCATCTAGCCACAGTACAAGCAGTTAAAAAGGTGAATCTGTCCCTTTAATTATGCCAATTGTGAGATGGGGAAGGCGCCAGTGGAGGAGGCATTTAAAACAGATTGCCCCATTTAGGGAGATAGGATTCTTGGAAATGAAGACTGGCACTTTTCCTAGACTAAAGGTTGCACTAAATAACCAAAGAGCAGGAGGGCAGCAGCCCTGCCTGTTGGGCTCCCACCTGACTTCAAAGGCCGGCGCCACGCTGGAGCCAGCCACCGAAACGGAGCAGTAAGGGGGGAAGCTCAGGGCCTCAGGCTGCTCTCTGCTCCAATTTAGGGTCAAGTCCTGGTTCTCTGGGAGCCTACTCCTCCCTGACACACACCCCTAGAAACTGCAGAGAGAAGATGCTGTCTGTCAGGCCCTTGCCTTTCAGTGTCAGAACACTGATTTTTTTTCTTTTTAATCTGTGTCTTCTGTAATAGAAAGTGCACACTTGGTGGTTGCTCAAGAAGCATGAAGCTGAGGATCAGAACATCCAAGCTCCATTTTGTATTACTAGAAGAGGATCATTGGACGTGTCCGAACCATCATGTGGAACCCATAAGGAAAAAAGCCAGAAGCACATACCTTAGACCCAATCTTTCATAGTAAGACTGGGAGGTTGAGCAGGAAGGAGTCTGCAGATAGAGCAATAAAGCTGGTTCCATCAAAAGCCAGGTCAGAATAAAGATATAGGCGCGCGTGCGCACGCACACATACACACACACACACACACACACACACACACACACACACACGGTGAATGTGTGTGTATGGGGCCAAGTATGAGTTTGTATAGTACATGAAAAAAAACCCTATGGTTAGTTTTCTTTTACATAGTCACCTAAAAACTTCTACAAATTAACTTCTAGACAATAATGAGTTTCCTAACCAGTAAAACAGGCTGCCACACCTGAGGAGGCATCATCACTTCTGTGCACAAGCCACAGAGGGTTTGACAAGAGACTTCTCTGCAGAAAGCAGCCCTTGGGGAGGGTTGGGGAGGGTTGGGGAAGTAGGAGGGCACAGGAGGGAAAGGCAGGATGGACTCCAAGGCAAGAGGGGGCCACTCGATGCTCTGTGCTAACGAGGAAACGGAGAGGGGATGTGGCTTCCTGGAGATGACACAGTGAGTCTAGCAGGCACTGCTGACAGCAAAGAGGACACAGCTACAGTAGAACTCTCCACACTCACTGTAAAAGCATCCCGTACCACACAGTGTTCCTTAGGGAACACGACCTTATTCCAGGTCTAGGGGTACACACATTCTGATCAGTTTCACTCAGCTGGGGTTCATTCTACTCCTGTCCATGATTGGACTTAAGTCTCGGCACGGGACACCTCGCGGCCAATGAGATGGCATGGGAGGTCAGTAGCAAACTTCTGGGACAAGCCTCCTTGTTCTTACCAAAACAAGTCACCTAGAGTCACCTAGGAAAGGAGGCTACTGTGGCCACTTGGGGAGTAAATCAGCAGATGAAAGATCTTTTCCTTGCTAATTGTGCCTTTCAAATAAATAAACACAAATATTAAAAATAAATAAATAAAGATCAACTAGAAAGACATGCTCTCTTTTTGCCAAGCATCTTGCTAAGTTTGGATGTGCTGCCTGAAATAGTGGCATCCACTTTACCAATACACTGTGGGCACATTGTGGAGAGTGCAAAGAAAAGTACAGCAAGTGATTCTGTGCAGTTAACCTGCACACCTCACAAGTGCTTCTTACAGGCACTGAGTTTCCCTGTCTATTTTAAGCACTTAAAACTATGTTTCTGTCCCTGTAAGCTAAGAGTGCCCTCGTCAATGGTCTAATAAATAGTCCATAAAACAGACAGCAATTAGTCCTCTTCTATCCTGCTGTCTCCGAGGAGAAGTGAGTGCTGTTGAGGCCCCAAGGGGACTCACTACCTGCCTATTCCCCTACTTCTTCTGCACTGTGGTACAGTGAGTTAAGCAGCCACTCCAGATACCCTTAGCCCATGTTAGAAACAGGTGCATGTTCTGGTTACTCTGCATCCAATCCAGCTCCTGGCTAATATATCTTGTTAAGCAGTGAATGGTGGTTCAAGTATCCAGGTCCTTGCCACCCATGAGAGAGAACTGGATAGAATTCCTGGCTCCTGATTATAACACAGTCCAGCCCTCGCTGTTGTGGCCCATTTGGGGAATGAACCATTGGATGGAAGATCTCTATCTGTCATTCTGTCTCTTTCTAATATGAATCAATAAATCTCTCTCTCTCTCTCTTTTTTAGTCACATTTTAAAACAAAACTGGGGCAAATGCAATACTGTCAACGTCTAAATCCATGGGCAATGTCAAAAGTCTGCTGCAAAAACACATTGTAAATATGACATGACCCAACTGAAATACCTTTCCTCAATACTATTTTTATGACACTTAATATTCCCCTTTTCCTACAAAATGCACGTATTTCAGCAATATTCTATTGAAATTTTTGTGTATTACATTTGTTTTTAGAGAAGTTTATGCATCACAGCAAAACTGAGTGGAAAGAACAGCTTCCTCATATACTCACTGTCTCACATATGCACGAGAGCTATGTACGTTCTCTTCTATGTTCTTCAAGGCCATCTTGATAGGCAAATCTTAAATGATTCTCACTCTTTCTGTTATAAACAATAACGTGTATGAAATCCCCTTTAAAAAAAAAAAACAAACAAGTACTGGAACACAGCCCTCAGTAAGCTGAAGACTTCTTGAATGTATATGAAGTCATTGATTTCATGCAAAACTCCCTATTGCCAGTCCCAGACAAACAACTTCACCTAACTTCTCACTTCTGTTTTATGTATGTGGCCAAGCAGTGTCTAATAATGATAGAATCTAGGGCTGAGAATTATCCTCCCGTAAAGATAATGAAGCTTTTGGACATCTACCAGCAATGCTCAGTCATTTTAATATAAGAAGGAGTAATGCTGATCATTATAACCACATATCATACAAAATGGCTTTTACTAGGCTCTTTGACATAACAGATTAAAACACACACACACACCTTCTAATTACATCTTACCTAGGGAAAAACAAAAAACAAAACTTACATGTGCTAAACCACATTTTATCTCTAAACAGTAGAGCTGCTGGGACTGTTGTGGCACAGCTAATTAAGCTGCCACTTGAAATGTTGGTATCCCATATCTAAGCAGTGGTTTGTGTCCCTGCTGCTCTGCTTCCTGCTTACGCATCTAGGAAGGCAGCAGAGAATGCCGCAAGTACTTGGGCCCTGACACCCATATGGGAGCTGGGGATGTAATTTTGGCTTCTGGCTTTGGCTTGGCTCAGCTCTGGCAGTTGGGGGCATATGGGGAATGAACCAGCAGATGGAAGATCTCTCTCTCTCTTCCTGTCACTGTGTTTTATTTATCTATTAGATAAATAAATATTTCTACAGGGTAGAGGTGACCTAGAAATATAATAAATGCAATCATTCCATTAATAAGCAATTATTGTATATTAAATATTTGCCAAACACTATGGCAGGGAGTGGAGATTCAGAATTGAAATCCCATTTTTCACATTCAAGAAATCTCACAAAAGCTGGAGATGGGCATTGAGGTACAGTAGGTAAAGCCATCATCTGCAATGCTGGTGGCCAATTTGGGCACTGGCTCCTTCCCAGCTGCTCCACTTCCATTCTAACTCTTTGTTAATGGCCTAAGGAATATAGCAGAAGGGAGCTTGGGAGTCCTGAATGAAGCTCCTGGCTCCTGGCTTTGGCCTGTCTTGCCCTGCCCACTGCAGCCACCTGGGGAGTGAGTGAGTAAATGGAAGACCTCTCCCTCCTTTCTGTCTCTGTCTCTTCTGTTTCCGTTTCTGTAACTCTTTCAGATAAGTAACAAGTCTTTAAAAAAAAACTCTCTCAAGTGGGTCTTGAAAGAAAATTACACATAGAAATCAGCTAATCAAAGCCACAATTAAGATAGCATTTTATGCTCTGAAGGACAGCTACCCTAAAAAAGACATTGGTTTGTACAACATGCTTGTATTTCAAAAATAGTATGCTAAGTGAAGTAAGCCAGTTGCAAAAGACCATATCTTATATGTTTCCATTTACACAAAATGTCCAGAATAGAAAGTAAACTAGTTAGTTCCAGGGGTTGGGGGAGGATGGTAATGGGTAGAGTTTCTTTTTTAGAACGATGAAAAATGTAAAATTACAGAGCAGTAATAGTTGCACAGATCTATGCATGCATTAAAATCACTGAACTGTATACCTTAAATATGTAAAAAGTTGTCAAAATACATATGGAAATGAGATTGGCATTGTGCCTCAGCAGGTTAAGTCACCATCTGCAATGCTGGTATCCTATTGGGCATTGGTTCGAGTACTGCCTACTCCATTTCCAATTTAGCTCCTAGGCAATGTGTCTGGGAAAGCAGTGGAAGGGCCCATGCACCCATGTGGGAGCCCGAGATGCAGCTCCAGGTTCCTGGTTTGGCTGACCCAGCCCTTGCTATTGTCATCATTTGGGGAGTAAACCAGCAGATGGAAGATATCTTTCTCTACTTCCTTCTTTCTGTAACTCTGCTTTTTAAATAAGTAAGTAAATCTAAAAATATATATATACAAGGAAATAAAAAGTCTCCATGCATGTAAACAATCAGAAGAATGCAAGCAAGCAATTAGTTGGAAAGATATTATTTATAGAAATTAATAAGAAATATGTATATAAGCTATACACAGAACATTTTTAAACATTGCTAAGAAATGCATAGAAAAAGAAGAAAACATAATGTTTTGAAGATTCTACCTTATAAAGATGTTAATTCTGCTAAGCAATTTCTAAATATAATGTGATCTCCATGAAAACATCAACAGGTTTTTTTTGATTGTAAAGTTCATACGGAAAAACAAACATGGAGAATAACCAGGAAATGACTTACATGGAAGAGCAATGAGGGAGAATTGGTCCTTTCAAATATTAAGAGACAATATAGCTGTAAAATAATTAACAAGCAATGGAAAAATACATACAGTCCAGAAATGAACCCCCAAACCTATAGAATTTAGTGTAGGATATAGCAAACACTATGACACCATGGGAAAAACAGACTTTGAAACAGATGTTGAGCCAAGTAAGTACTGGGAAAACAGAAAGGCACAGCCAAGCCCCAGGATGGACTTCAGGACAACCAACTGCACAAACCAACAAATAAGTGGGAGAAAAAATGAAATTACTGAAGTACCCAAAGGGTCATGAAAACACAGGTAGGAAAAGTCCTTCTAACTCTGACTCAAAATACAGAAGCCATGAATTTGATGGAATAAACATAAAGACACTTTCAAATGGGAAAATTTCAACATCAGTGAATCAAACTTTATACATGAATCGTGGAAAGAAAGCTCATATTAAAGATAATATACACTGAGCTTTTAGAAATTAAAAACTGGTTAAGAATACAGTGAGGAAATGTCTAGTATATGTGCTGCCAAAGCAAGCAGGAGAAAATGTCTAAAGTATAGAATGCAATTCATAAAAATATAACATTAAATAAAATGATATTTACTCTCATTTATAACAAAATAAATATAAATCACAACTTCAGTGAAATATCATTTCTTATCTATCAGCAACTATTAAAACATTTGACAATAGAGTCTGTGAATACCGTTCTAGGGGAACACTTTTTAAAAATTTATTTATTTTATTATTTTTTTATTGGAAAGGTAGATGTACAGAAAGGAGGAGAGACAAAGAGGAAGATAACAGGCACTTTCATATATTATTTGTAGGAGTGAAATACGGAACAAACCTCACAAGGGAAATTTTCCAGTATGTTCTGAAAGCTACAGATGTAGCTATCCTTTGACAAAACAAGAACAACAACAACAAAAACCTAACCTAACTTCTAGATGCACCTGCTTGAATGTGAAATGACATGCAGACAAGATTACCTATTCCAGATGACTTATAAAGAACAGAGAACTGGAATACTTTGTGGCCATAAAAAGACCGAAGAAAATCTGTATGAACTAACTGGAGGGAGTTCTGGAATATGATCTTAAGATAGAGAATGCAGATTACACTTTATATAAAATAAAATAATATACACACAAACACACAACCTGTACAAAGGCTAAAAGGGTTAGCCCTCTAAAACAAAATAGTTACCCACGAAGAAACAGAGTGAAGATGCCAAGATTTCTTCCTGTATGCCTCTATATATTATGCTTAATTATTCTAACTTTTAAACATAAAGAAATAAAGACAGGATAACTCATCAAATTCCTAGATATCATCATCCAGATTTAATATCTGCATGATTTTGGTCTTTCAGTCATGTTAAATCCATACTTATCTTTAAAAAGCTCAATGAAATTTTTTTTATTAAATTGTAAAGAAATTATAAGCTCTGAGCCTATGTTTAATATTAAACTAATGACAGTCACTCTGAGTAAGAATCTATTCCTAGAGACTTCAGAAGATGACATTTTAAATAAATACCCTTGGTGGGATACATTCTAAGGATAAAACAAAATACAAAGAAATGTTAAAGCTCCATTTTTATAATATAAATGTTAGCATTCTAAAACTAAATTCTCTGTAGGCTAAAGAAAAAAATAAAGATTTTCTGCATGGGAAAAAGGAATTACAACGATGAAACCAAAGAAAGCACAGGGATGTTACATCTAAATTAAACAGAGGCCAGCATGACGGTATAGCATGCTAAACCTGTGCCTGTGCACCAGCATGCCATATAGGCACCGTTTCCGCTGCTCCACTTCTGACCCAGCTTCCTGACTGTGGAATGGGAAAGCAGTGGAGTATGGCTTAGGTCCTTGCATCCTTGCACCCTTGTGGAAGATCCAGAAGAAGCTCCTGGTTCCTGGCTTTAGACCAGCCCAGCTCTGGCCAGTGTAGCCATTTGAAGAGTAAACAGGCAGATGAAAGATCAACCTGATCTCTGACTCAGTCTACTGAAATACGATAAAAACAAGTCAACCCCACAGTAATAAGCACTTCCAAGTCCTGGCTGTGGTCTCCATTACCACTGATACCGTAGTCTAACACCTCTGAAAAGTGCAATATGAGATGGGGCATCTCACACCACAAGGCAAGAAAGCTTTTCAAGATTATGGAAGCCCTGCTATAAAGTCACAGGAGCTTGCTGAAAGGGTCCTGCTACCCAACGTTGTAATAAGAGACTAATGATGAAGCCAAAAGTACCAAGTCCATAAAGTTCATGACTGCATGGCAAAGAAGGAAAACTCAGGTCACTAGTCAAAGAAGTTACTGCAGAATTCCTAATCCAGAAATAGTAATTAGAAGAAAAATCTTACAAGAGCTCCCGCCTTTCCAGCTGGAACTAATGTCATAGTAACCAGATAGCCCCGACAAATGAGGGAAAAGCTCTATTCTATAGAGGAAGTCAAAGAATCAGAAAAATGGCTCACAAAACTTCAAGTATGGATCCAGGCAAGAATGATCATCTGATGCCATGGTAATTAAGTAAATTGTCTGTATACCAAAGCTCCACCACACAGATGCCCTTCAGTTCTCAAGGAGGAAAATGTAATGGACAATGGAGGGTTCAAGAGCGACACAACCTCGAACCAGGGGTCCATCTCAGCATCACTAGCAGTGGGCCTTTTCAGGGACAGACAGTGAAGTTTTTTTGAAATCACCTCTGGTGCAGTTAAGTCCAAACAATGAACTTGAATACAGCATGCCTTCAGATACAGGAAATCAGAGGATGAAGAAATCGACCCTATCACAAGGGAGCAAGCCCATACAGCCAGCAAGAGTCCATTACTCTGATAAGAGACAACGCTAGGTTTAAAAAAAAAAAAAAAAAAGGCTAAGAAGTCCTAATCAGACAGAGGGCATGGGTCTGATTAGATACTCATTTCAACAAACTAGTTTCAAAGGATATTTGAGGGCTGATTATGGAAATTTGCATAGGACTTTACTACTGAAGTACAAAAATGTTGGAACCTGTTAACCAAAAAAGTCAGGAAATAGTAATATATTTTATTTTTTAAAAAAATTGTACACATCTATATTAAGAGAGTATGTGTGGGGTGAGAAAAGGGAAGTGAGGCAAGGCTTCCTTGACTTCTCCAGAAAGTAACAATGTTATAGGGGTGGTGAGGGGGGTAGAATCTGAGAGGGCTGGGGTGAGGCCTTGTGAGAAGAAATGAGAACTTTTTTTTAAAGAGGTGCTGAAATGCTGCCTCAAGCACACTTTAACTCTACTTCCTGGTTTGAATACCTTACCAGCAAAATTCCAGAAAATTCCAGAGGAAAAGGGAGGCTGATAGGATTTAAGACAGCATTCAAGTCCCAGGAAGAAAGCCTCGGGTATTCCTGTTGGCAGAACATCACCAATCTCAGAATCACCCTTTAACACTATTTACAATGGTAACTTTGTTTCTAAGCATCACCGTGTAAATTTCAGAAGATACGCTGCACACTCTAAAAAGGGCAGCAGCTTCCTCTACTGTGACGTTACACACAAAAGACTGTGGTACCATCAGTCACTGATTGGTAAGCTGCAGGAAGTATCCATGACATGTGTAACAGCCACAAGGCAGAGGACACAAACCACCACAGAAAAGTTCCTAACTTCATGGAGCTCGGAAAACAAACACACACGGATAACTAGATGGCTGGGAAGTGTAAGTTTTATGAAGGCTAAGAGTCAGAGCTCTGAGATTAAAAGAGGTATAACATGATTTGCACTGCAAGGTCAGAGGAAGCCTACCAGAGGAAGCTACATTTCAGGTCTGATTGCAGGGTGAGCCAGGATATCCAGGTGAAGAGAAGAGCATTACAGATGGGCAAGTCTTTGTAAGGATAAAGTTCTTGTGCAGGAAACAGCTGGGAACCAACTCAAAGAACCCAGCATGTAGCAAAGTGAGAGAAAGACTGGGGTCAAATGGGCTTGAGAAACCAGCAGGGACTGTGATGTAACTCAGGTTATCTAGGACTGGGGACTGCATTCCAGGTATGCTGGGAAGCAGCCGGACATCTCAAGTGTGCCAAGACCAACTCCACACTTCTTATCACTAGGGGAAATCAATGGGGAGGCTGAGGAACAGTGTGAGGGGACAAGATAAGAGGTCAGGCCAGGTGAGACACGAGCATCTCAACTAGAGCCTGCAGGCCCAACTGCACTCCAAGTCTGCTTCTGTAAAGAAAGTTTCACTGGATCGCAACTCCACCTCCTCTTTCAGGCCTTGCCTGGGTGCTTTCACACTCAAATTAACCTGTTGAGGAGGTACAGCAGAAACCACACATCACATGGCTGGAACGTTGTCACCCCTGGGCTGGGGGTGGCAGCAGACAAAGAGGGATGGGTTTATAGCAGTACAGTCCACATTCATTTTTCTCCAATTCTGTGATTGTGAATTCACTAGCTTACTAAGTCAGAGCAACAAAAATTTGCTGAGCTACTCACACGCACCTGCTCATCTGAGGCCTAACAAGGCGAACCTTTGCCTTCTCCAGCCCCTACTACAAATGAACATCCTTTAACCATTCTATATGGCACCACAGTTTTAGCACGGTTGTGTTTTTGCCGGTTATTTCACTGTTGAAAATGGCCCACAAGTTCACAGAGCTCGAGTGCTATCTGGTGTGGCTCAGCGTTGAGATGGCTGCGCTGTGCCTTATTAGCAGACATCTGTGCCAGCTAAGCTCACTCAGGCATGAGTTACAGCGCTCTTGGCTGAGTTTGATGCTAGTGAGTCAACAATATATATTAAATCATTTTCAAAAAGAAACACAGGGACTGGTGTGATGATGCAGAGGGTTAGGCTGCCACTTGTGACCCCCATGTCCTGTAGCTTGGAGCCAGTTCCAGCTACTCTGCTTCCCATTTGGCTTCCAGATCCCATACCTGAGAAAGCACAGCATGTGGCCCAAGAACCTGAGCTGCAGCAACCCATGTGGCAGATCAGAACAGAGGTCCTGGCCCAGCCTGGCTATTACAGCCGTGCGGGGAGTGAACTGGTGGTTAGCAAGTGTCACTCTCTCAGGCTTTCCCTCTCTCTGTTGCTCTGCCTTTCAAATGGGAAAGAGAAGAGAAGGGAAGAGTGAGGGAGACAAAAAACAACATCTGAATAGAGACATCAACTAGGTTGTTGGCTTCAGGACTTTGTAGCTCAGAGAAGTGCAGATAAAGATAAAATTTCAGAGTCACTGACACATATAGATGGCACTAAAAGCCTGGAGATGATATGTCACCCGAGGAGAAAAAGCAGAATGAGAACAGAACCCAGGCTTGAGTTCAGCAATGAACTGTTACTTCTCAAATGATCAGATGGGTTAAACTAAGTCCTTATCTAGTTATATGTATCTAGAGCCTGATACATGTTAACACTCCTTAAACTAGTAAATCTGTTTTGGTGAAACTACCCTGGAATTCAGACAAGCCTTAATGTTACATAACATTATCCTGAGGAATAATTCATGACAGTAATATTAGAAATAACCTGAACATTTGAGGACTGTTTATACTGACAAAACTAATGATATTTTCCTCCATGTTCTAATCTTAGAAATTTCAACCCCTCCAGAAGTCTGATAAAAATAGCCACTTCTATTTCCTTCAAGCTTTTGTTAAAGTGATACATAAAAAATGTGCATACTGGTTGGTTATTGTTGTGCGACGAGTTAAGCTGGGTTAAGCCACTGATTGCAACACTGGCATTCCATATGATCCTTACTCCGTGTCCTGTCTGTTCCACTTCCAATCCAGCTTCCTGCTGATGGGCCTGGGAGAGCAGTGAAGCTGGTCCAAGGCCTTGGGCCCATGTATCCATGTGAGGCGTCTGGTTCCTATCTTTGGCTTAGCCCAGCCCAAGCTGCTGAGGCCATTTGGGGAGTGAACCAGTAGTGGAAAAATCCCTTTCTCCATATATCTCTATCTACCTCTCTCTATATATGTGGCTCTGCCTTTCACATAAATATTTTTTTAAATTGCACTTATTTATGTTCTTATTTATTTAATACCATGTAATGTTTCAATTCATGTATACACTGCACAATGTTCAAACCAGGGAAAGCCAACCCATCTCTTCTAAAAGTTCTTTGTCTTTTGTTAAGATTTAATAATTTGTTTGAAAAGTAGAGTCACAGAGAAACAGAGAGCTTCCATCAGCTGGTTCATTCCCTAGATGGTTGCCACAGCTGGAACTGGGCCAGGCCAGAGCTAGGCATCTGGAACTTCATCCCGGTCTCCTTTGTGACTGCAGGGGTCCAAGATTTGGGCCATTATCCACTACTTTCTCAGGTGTATTTATAGTGAGCTGTTTTGGGTAGTGACATAACTGAATGTACCAAAATGCCAATATTCAAAATCTTTTTGCATTAAAAAAAAGGTAAACCATCATTATCTATAATCACCTTACTGGGCATCAGAACACCAGAACTTCTAACTTGGCACCCATTAATCAGCCTTCTCCAGTCTTCACTCCTTCAACCTTTTTTTTTTTTAAAGACTTTATTTATTTATTGGAAAGTCAGATATACAGAGAGGAGAGACAGAGAGGAAGATCTTCCGTCCGATGATTCACTCCCCAAGTGATTGCAACGGCCGATGCTATGCCGATCCAAAGCCAGGATCTACGAACTTCTTCTGGGTCTCCCACACAGGTGCAGGGTCCCAAGGCTTTGGGCCGTCCTCAACTGCTTTCCCAGGCCACAAGCAGAGAGCTAGATGGGAAGCGGAGCTGCCGGGATTAGAACCAGCACCCATATGGGATCCTGGCGTGTTCAAGGTGAGGACTTTAGCCGCTAGGCCATGCCGCCGGGCCCCTTCAACCTCTTTTTAAAAACTGTTTGGGTCCTGCACAGTAGCCTAGCAACTAAAGTTCTTGCCTAGCATGCACTGGGATCCCACATCGGTGCCAGCTCTAATCCTGTTTCCCATCCAGCTCCCTGCTTGTGGCCTGGGAAAGCAGTCAAGAATGGCCCAAAGCTTTGGGACTCTGCACCCACATGGGAAACTTAGAAGAAGCTCCTGGCTCCTGGCTTCGGATTGGCTCAGCTCTGGCCATTGCAGCCACTTGGGGAGTGAATCAGTGGACAGATCTTCCTCTCTGTATATCTGAATTTCCAATAAAAATAAATACAGCTTTTAAAAAAACTGTTAATTTATTAGAAAGGCAGATTACAGATTAGACAGAGATCTTTTATTTGCTGGTTGGCTTCCCTAACAGCTACAATGGCCAAGGATGGGCTAGGATGAAGCCAGGTGCTTCTTTCAGATCTTCTACATGGGTAACAAGGGCACAAGCATTTGAAACATCTTCCTTGGTTTTTCTAGATACATGAACAAGGAGCTGGATGGAAATGGAGCAGCCAAGACTCGAACCAGTACTCTAATGGGATGCTGGCATTGCAGGTAGAGACTTAACCTGCCACAACACTTTGCTAGCTCCTCAAGTTCTTTCAAACTGTGTATAATTTGCCTCTATCTACTAAAAGGCAAGCTGCTTCAGGACAGGGATTTTTATGCATTTCATTAATTACTCTATATCCAGGACCTGGAAGAGTCCTTGGCATTCTGAACAAGATAAACAGATTTTTTGTTGTTGTTGAATTTTTTTATTTTAATCAGGTAGAATTTATGGTGGTGTAACGATGAGAGATGATGAGACCTGTTGAGATTTTTCAAATTGCTGTCACAATGTCCCACTCCCATTTGTCTAATCAGTTTTCCTTTCCCTGTTGCTTTGCGGTACTTCCTGCATCATCTGTTAAATGCTCACAGACTACAGGGCCTCAAATCTGGCTCACCTACTCTGCCCCACGGATGTGTCTGTCAAACTGTGAGCCAAATTTTAAGCTTTATGGGTCTGTTTTCATATTTTCAAGAGCCGGTTGCGCTGCACTCTTACCTTTTAGATCTGACTATTCTATGCTCACCTGCCACCTTATCTTTCCAGAGAAGCAAGAGAAATCAGTTTCTCAAAAGTTAAGAGACTTATTCAGATTTTAACTGAAACCAAGTCCATTCACATTCAGAAGAAAACTGGCAAATTTACACATTTCATATCCTCATCTGGGAAGGACCTGGGAAGATTCTCTAGGATGTAGCTACAAGCTGGTAGTCACTGTTATGATCTTTGGATGTAGACGACCTGGGGTCAATCTAGTCCTGCACTTAGAACATGGTGGAACTAGAGCCCACCATGGAGCACTAGCGCAAGAACTCAATGAATTCATGTCTGTAAAATCTCAGAACAGAGGTGGCAATGGCAAAGGTTCTTTAGGTATTTACTGCTCCAATCATCTTTTCACAACATTTTTTCTTTACAGTCTTAGTAAAGTTATTCTTAGTTGATCTGTTCTGCTGTTCTAGAAGGTTCACTGGAGGTAGGGTCGGGTTCTGCTGTTGCTGCTGAGAGTGTATGTCCCCTGTAAGAGTGCCTGATTTAAATTCCTGCTGCTCTGCACTTCTGATTCAGTTTCCTGCTAATGCTCCTGGGAGGCAGTAGCTTAGAGCCGAAGCAGATTCCTGCCACCCATCTGGGAGACCTGGATGGTGTTCCTGTCTCCTGGCTTCAGGATGCTGGAGTGCTTGGGAACAAACCAGTGGACAACAGATCTGTGTACGTGTGTGTATATGTGTGAGTTTCTGCATGCGTGTGTTTTTCCTTTTCTTCCTGTCACTCTGCCTTCTAATAAAGTAATAAGTCTTTGAAAAACCAACATCAACAAAAGAGGGTTCATGGCTAGGCTGTCCTTCACCAGACCCCTCCACTGTGCCAGTACTGGACTAAGTGCTTTACACCTACATGATGACTGTGAAGCAAATGAGACCACAGAGTGTGACATTTATGCTTAGGTTACTAACACCCTGTCATTAGAGGTCTCTAGCTTGGTTGCCTCTTCTCCAAAGAGAATCTCAGATCCATATTACTTGGGTTTAGTCTTGTGTCTTCTTGCTTTGTGCTCTGTGGACTGTTCCAGATCACCTGGGAGAGGCAGGCAGCCTGCCCATCAAAACAAGAGTGTGCTGTGGCATCAGGCAAACTCAGGTTCAAACTCTGGCTCTGTCAATTACTGGTTAGGAGACTCTGGAAACACTATTTCATATCTCAAAGCCTCAATTTCCTCTTCGGTAGATGAAGAAAATCACAGAGCTCTTAAATGTTAGTTAATACTAATAATTTACTGTTGAGAAGAATATCTGCCTGTTCTATTCTGGGGCTCCAGGACCAATGTGAATGGACTACAGACTGGCTCCTGCACTTGCTGACCTGCCCTAGAAGATGAGAAGTAGGGAGGCTGGGTCTACTTAGTTCCATGGTTTCTGGAAGTTGGAGACAAAAGGCACTAGAACAGTGAATAATATTAATGCCAAGTCTCTGGCTCTCACATGTCCAAGAAAAGCTGATTTAAAACTTCTGATTGTAATGATTTAGTGGTTTGTTTCCTTCTGAATGTGTTCTTCCAGAACAATGACCCTCAATAGGAAATATAATTTTTAGCCTCTCCATAGGCCTACTGATTTAGAAACTCTGAGGATGGGCTTAGCATGTTTCCTTTTTGAAGAATTATTTATTTGAAAAGCAGAGTGATAGAGACAAATTTCCTATCCCCTGGTTTACTCCCCAGCTGGCCAGCCAGAATGAAACCAGGAGCCAGAACTCCAACCGGGTCTCTCACATGCCTGACAGGAGCCCAATTACTAAGGCCATTTTCTGCTGCTTCTCAGGCACTTAGCAAGAAGCTGGATCAGACGAGGAGCTGCTAAAGTTCCAACCAGGACTCCAACTGGTTTTTCCATATGGAATGCAAGTGTCATTGGTCAGGGCTTAACCGCATTGTACCATAATGCCAGCATTCCTTTAGTATATTTCAAAAGGCCTTCTAGGAGACTGATGACCAAAAAAATGTTGGGGAATCACTTCTCCAGAAAAGTTCCCCACACAGATACACCTCCAAAAGAGTTCCAGGTGTATGTCCACAAGGACCGTCAGACCTGCAGGTATGTAGTAAGGCAAATTCCACATCAAGGCCTATAAAGTCAAAAGAATAAACACGTAGGGAAAGGAATCTGCGTTTGTGGGGAGATAATAAGTGGGTGGAAGCAGACAGGAGATGCCATCAAGGATGACAGAAGGAGAGGCCGTGTCTACTAATACCTGAGACCCACAAAGAGAAGAGCAGTCAGGGTCACTGAGTTCTCTGTGAGGTTTCATGAGTGGGATGGACATACCAGTTATGGAACACATTGAACAACTGCCTCAACTATGCCTTACTAAGCAACTATAAACCTAGGACCAAGGTGAGGAGGGAGAAAAGGAGGGCAGAGCTTGCCGTTGAAGCAATCAACAGCCAACGCTTATATAAATAGGAAATGTTTCAGGTTGCCTTTGTTGCCTAAATGTTTGTGGCAAGTTGTCCCCCTTATCTGCACTGCACAAGGGCTCTAGCCCTGGAGCTCATGCTGCCAACGCCCCTGCCACGCCCTCTTCCAGGGGAGAGGAGCTCCCAGGGTCTAGGCATATGGCTCGGCCACTAATGGGCACCCACCCTCTCCCAGAACAGGCTCTGTGTACCCAGAGCTGTGGGATTCCCTGTCCCAAGGCCTCACGCCCACTGTCAGACTCTTTCCCGGAACCTGGAGGCACAGACTTAGACGTGCCAGGTGGCAGAAAGCATCAGTAGGCTCAAGAAAAAGGTAGGGGTGGTCATGGTTTGGACATGTAAACCAGAAGCAGAAAAAGAATGGGACGGGTGGCAGGCTGGGGGCCTTGCGTTATATTCTTGCCCCAGGACCACAGGTGGCAAGGACAGCTCTTTGCTTGTGCCCTTAATTAAGTGTGAAAGTCTGTGTGTTTTAATGCTCCAAAAGGCCACTCATTTAAGCTGAAACACTTCCAAGGCAGGTCAGGAGCAACACCACACTAAAGATGCACCAGTAGAAGCCTGTTTGGGGTCAGAATGTTAGGCCTAAAAACTCATTTTGGTTCTGCCGAAAGCAAAGAATAACTATCAACTGTACTTTAGGAAATCAGTTGTGTTTTTGTTTTTTTGTTTTTAAGTGTAACGACTTCAAAGTGCTTTCAGGCTCTGTGAAACTCATCAAGATTTTACTGGTTTCTCTCTTGTGATTTTGCTGCTGTTGTTGTTAATGAGTAGCTCATGGTGACAAGCTGTGAACTTTCTCAGGGAAACATAAGGAACCACTTCCTAATAGAAGACTAAATGCTGGAGCTGAGGGTATTGCAGCCCTGCTCTCCTTTGCAAAAAGGGGACTCCTCCCTCAGGATGGGCTCGGGCAGCACAGGGGCTGCAAGGGGGCCCAGGAGGACTCCAGCAGCAGCTCCTTAGGGGTCTGGGCAAAATAAGAAATGGCTTCAGCAGCCTCAAAGAGATTGCTGATACCTGAAGCTCTACTTGATGGCATAGTCCAGTGACACTCACACAGGGGCTGTAGAGGTTCTGGGAATCCCACGCACACTGCCTGGGGGCCGGGGTATAGGAGAGCCCTGCTCACCCTCAGCCTCTGTGCCACACTGGGCCAGCCTCTTCACTGTTCTGGATGTTGGCTAAACATCTAGAACAAGTGAAGAAGTGAAGGCCCACAAAGGTTCTTCTGTGACCCAACAAAAGGTAGCAGGAGATAAGCAAACTTCCATGTAGGAGAGGTGTTTTAGAGAAACTTTTAGAGAAGCTTTCCACAACCCAGAGCTCCATGGCCCCAGCAACAGAATAAGGATATTCAGGAAAAACCAGTTGTACTGAACTGTTTATTCTCATCATCATTCCCTTAACCATACAGTATGACAAGTACTTACATGGCATTTGTCTTATTATTATGAGTATCAGTAATATAGAGATGATTTCAACTACATGGGAGGATGTGTGTATATTTAAGTACCTGGGCATTCACAGAGTCTGGTATCTGTGGGTTTTCCTCCAAGATACTAAGGGATGATCGTAAATATCATGGTATTGCCAACACCACTTAAGTTCTCCTGATTCTAAACCACTGCCATCAAGTATGGAGGGGAAAGCAAAACAGAACAAATACTGAATCCTCTGGACCAGATGACAGCCCTCTGGTAGTCTCGTACGACCCGACGGGATCCCACTCCAATCCTTCATGCTCACCTCTTCCTGCTCTCCCCCACCTCCCAGCTGGGCTTGCCCCAGGCTGCCTCCTTCCTTCTATTACATACAGGCCTGTAAAAATTACCTTGTTCAAGTAGCATTTTGATTTTATCGGTCCCCTTCTCCACACCATAAAATGTCTCTTGAATTAGAACCCCTTTTAAACCTTTCAACAACTGAGCCCAAACACTTACCATTCTCATCCACTGCTCTATTTTGTGCCTTACCACTCCAGCCAAGCAAAAATTACTTTGCAAATGAATTGCATTATGCACTCTCCTTACTCACCTTGTTAAGCCAGCACAAGAGCTTTGACTGTTCCTGTTGTCTCTTTATATAGGAATATCTCATTTATCCAGCTTCCTTGGAAATAAGCTGATCCACAAAACTAATCTACATAAATGAATTCTCCCTTCTACCAGAAACTTAACCCTTGATGTAGTCTTAGGTCATGGTATAATCACACACAAGAGTTCCTTTATGGTAAGCATTTTCATGTCTGCAGTACATTAGAGAACCTCCCAGTCTCGGTTAACAGAACATAATGAACATCGATTAATCTTTTCCTGATGGTGCAGGTCATACTTAATGAATGTCAGTAATCAGCCTGTGCTGTGGCTGCAGATACAAGTGGTTGAGGGGATAAAGCTGCATACAAGTGTGTGTTCCTCCTGCGCTCTCTCTATCTCAATCACCTTCTTGCTATTTCTCCCTGTCCAGGTCCCTCTCAAACCCACTCTCTTCCCAAAGATTCTGCTATCATCTTGGGTCCTGGTGAGCAGATGCAGTTACACAGACTCAGGAAGGTGTAGCTTGATATCTTTCTGCAAGCTTGCAAAAATGCACATGCTGGTTTTTGTTGGAGCCCTGGAAAGCCTTTGTGTGCAGTGGGTTAGGACACTGCCTGCAATACCTGCACCCCATTCAAGCATCCATTCTGAGTTCCAGCTACTCCGTTCCCCAACCAGCTCCTTGCTAACACATTTGAGAAAATAGCTGAAGATGGCCCAAGCACTCAGCCCCTGCAATCCATGTGTGAGAAACTCATGGAGTTTCAGGATCCTGGTCTGAGCCTCCTTTCTGTGGCCATTTGAGTGTAAACCAGCAGGTGGAAGATCTCTCTTTCGGTCTCTATTTCTGTAACTCCACCTTTCAAATACATAAATCTTGTTTTCAAGAAAAAAAGCCACATTTTTAAAAAGATTTATTTATTTATTAGTTATTTCTTGTGCTAAGTCTTTGGAAAAATCATCTTACAGTATGAATAACAATTGCACAAATCAAATCTTAGGAAGATACTGGTATGGGAAGAAAGTGATAAAAAAGTATACAAATGAGTCTTTTTCATCCAGATGGAGTCTTTCTAACTGTGGGCTGGAAGTGCTCCTCTGACCAATATTACAGAAGACTCCCCAGCAATCTTTCACTGCAGATGGACAGAACTACCTGGGGGGAATGCCCTTGTCGGCTCATACGTTATAGCACCTTCTGTGTGAGACAAAGGTTTTATAAAGTCCAAAGCACTAGCACACACAGAAGAGTCGATCAATCTTAATTCTGCTTAAGCACGGTGGCATTTAATTAATCAGAAACTACTAGGGCAACAGCAGTTAGGGGAGAACTACTCAAACAGATCGCTTGCAAAACCCTACAAATCTGTTCAGTGTTGAATTCAGAAAGAAATGATTGTAAAACCACAAGATCATTTTACAGTTTAAACTGTAGGCTGGTTTGGGGGTTTTGCATTTTTTGCAGTGACTTTATGAGCCTGCTCTCTAATGGTAAAGTCAATCCATCAGGAAACACACAGGCCACACTGAGGCTGCTCTCACCTCTTCCCTCAGCTTCAGATCAGAGTGAGGGAGCACTGCCTCCGAAGGAAGTCAGACCTGTGCTCTAAGACACCTAGCTCACCTGCCTCCAACAGCCCCGTAAAACAGGTATGGACTGTGCTGATTCAGAATCTGCCCTTGGTAAACCTGGACAAACTGACACTCCACTGAATCATCGGGATGCACCTGGAGTCTCCCAACGGTCATTCAAAACTCTGATGCTCATGTCCATCACTTGCAGTATGTCAAATCTGCAGATTGTTAAGACTCCAAACAGGTGGAGGCAGCAGGATGAAAGTCAAAGCAACCAACAGCATCAGACAGAGGGGTGGCTGTGTCAGGGAGTGGGATGCCAGCAGTCTGTGTGAGAGAAATGGAGACTTGAGGGTGAGGTTGATGTGAACTGAATGTGAGTCACCGAGCCAGGGATGCTGGGAAGTAAGTTATTACTTAGATCTATTAAAAGGAAATGTCAATTCATAACGTATTTATGAAGCACCTACTAGGATGAAGGCTGCACGGTTATTGTAGGTGATACCAAGATGATTCAGAGATGGCTCTTACCCTCCAGGGATTCACAATGATGCAAGAACCCTGAAGTCATTTCTCTTACATGAGCTGTACTAATGAGAACATTATTAAAGAACTATATTCAGTTTTGATCACCAGCATATTTTGTTTTGTTTTGGGGGAGAAACTAGAGAGAGTTCAAAGGAGATACTGTCAGGGACACAGAATGGCTCTGTAAGGAAAAAGCTACGGAAACCCAGTTACTATTTTCAAGTGTATGAAAGGTTTTTCGAGAAAGGACCTGAGCGAAAGAAAACCAGTTTGAATGACAGCAGGTGAGATTTCAGCCAGGGTCAGGAATGTCTCACCCATCAGGTTAACAGAACACTGGAACTGGTCACTGAGGGACTTCTAATGCCCTTTTCTAGGGGAAAAAACAAAATACATGAGCAAACCGACAATTTTAAGTTCTCCAGTGCCAGACATTCACCTTCCTGAGGGCAGGAAGTAAACCACATCTCCCCAGAGGCCTCCTGCTTTGTGATCTCCACGTCCCCAAGGGCAGAGCCCACCTTTTCTTCTCCCACAACTCCCCGGGTGAGCCACTCTGGGTAATTCGCCACTGATCAAGACGGGTGTCACTCCATCTACTTCCCCACCAGGAGCCACACAAGGCCACTTGAAACACAAGAGCTCAGCTGGGCAGCAAAGCAGGGAACACCTCTCCAATAGCCACGTGTGGGTGCCAGAGTTCCATGTGCAACACAGCCAGTAATACTAAACGCAGCAAACACAGGACTCCAGGCCAGCAGGTGCAAGTGAGAAGCATATTTGCATTGACAAGGAATGTAAAGTTTATGTAACGAAAAGAGGAAGACAGAATTATTTGCAAATGAAAAAATAGCAACACCTGAGAAATTTCTAAGGAACTTCACAATGAGTATTTTCTACTTACAGAAAAAAAAAATCTTTTTGAATCCAAATGAAAAAAATATTTCAAGAGAGAATGGGGAAATACAATCTTTCCTTTATACCTCAATGAAACATGAGCTTGTAAAAAGTAAGTACTGTCACTAAAAAAAGAAGAAAAAAAAATCCACTTTAAGTCAGACTCAAGGCCCAAGCAGTCCATACTTAAAATTCTTGACTTTCATTTCCTACCACTCAACACTTTGAGCACAGGGGCCAAGGCCAAGTCTCTGTCACTTCCACAACCCCAAAACCTACCTAGCACAGGGCCTGGCACAGAGCAACCCTACCTTACCAATGTTTGCCAAGTGAATGCATGCCCTGAACCCACATGGGCAGCGGGGACAAAAAGCAGAACAGCAGGTGGGGCCTAAGACACAATCATCATCACGAAGCTCTGTAAGGGGGAAAATTAAGAATCGCCTACATTTCACATTCACAATCTTCTTTTCTTCCTCCAACAGGGCACTGCTGTATGAAACGGAACTGTTACGAGCCTGGGACTTTCAAGTTCACACTGCATAGGTGGTTATATAAAGTCTGCTGACATTATCCTGTCTTTGATAGCAAGCCTGGGTGCTTGAATTGTCATAAGACTTCCAGAAAGCACTGGGAAATTGCGTGTTCAGAGAACAATAAAATAGCTCACATATCACACCCTGCCGATCATCACTCCTTGGTTCCGCGCAGACCTCAAAGGTGGTTCCCCCAGATAGCTCTCCATGGGAGGAAGGAAGAGAGAATTGAAGAAACATAACACGTAAGATACAAAGAATATGAGCAGCTGTAGCATGCATTGAAGCACCCAATTTTCTTTTGTAGGAAAGTGATGTTTTATGCATGATGAGGCAGCCCCTGGCTTGTGCTTGGCTGGGTGGGGGGTGTCTCTCCCCCACCCTCAGAGGAGACGGTGGGGAGCAGCTCAGGGGCGTGCCCTCACCAGGCGCCAGGCCCGCTATTTTGTTTAGGAATGGATCCTGCAGTAGGGCAGAGGTTATCTTTCCTCCTTGGGGATACTTTCTCAGGGGCACAGCTGCTGCTCCTGAAACTCAGTCCTGCTATAGCAATTTCCATGGTTTTTTAAGTGACATAGAAGGTGCCACTGTAGCAGAGAAATTCTCTACCTGAAACCAGCAGAAACTCAATGGAAATAAAGAATCTGGAAAGGTCAAGGAGAGCGGAAAAAAAAAAAAAAAAACAGGTTCTTTCTTCTGTGGCTATAGGGGGCTTATTGTTGCTGGTACCCAAACTGGAAAGGGAATAGCAGGAGATTAATAATTGAGATGTTGCTATTATTGGTTTTCTAAACTATTTGTTGGTTATTCCTTCCCTGGAGTCACCACGCCTGTCAGCAGCTCAGAAGACAGAGGGATGTAACACACACCATGAAAATGCCTGCGACTGCCGACACCTTATACACACTTGTTTCTAATGGAGTTTACACAGGGTCCAGTAAAGTTTAAAAAAATAAAACGAAACAAAACTCGGAGAAAGTAAGTATTATGCTCCCCCCGCCCCCGAAAAGCACACGGCTAAAGTCAAACCAGTTTTTTCTGACTCAAGCATCATATCAGATGTCTAAAACCAAGAAAAACTGTATTGATATTTACTCATTTTAAAAAATACAAAACACAGAAAAAGAGATTTTGGAACTTGTGCTATCAAATTCTCTCTTTTAATTTTTTTAAAAAAATTATTCATTTTTATTTGAGAGGAAGAGAGAAGGAGGTAGACACACAGAGAGCATCCAGCTGCTGGGTCATTTCCCAGAGGTCAGCAATAGCCACTACTGAACCAGGCCAACGTTAGGAGACTCGAACTCCATGCAAGTCTTTCTTGGAGACAGCTGTGACCCAAGTGCGTGAGTCACCACCTGCTGCTTTGGAGGGTCCACATTAGAGCAAGAAAGACCTAGAAGCAGAGCTTGGCACTGATCACTGCCAGATGCTCACCTCTCAAACTCTCTGGAACAGAAGATGACTCTGAATCTCATTTCTTGGTACCTTGGCACACAGGTGTTTACCAGGTACATGTGATGGTGGGCTGCAGCATGATGGCTTCTGTAAGTCTAGCTCTTTACACGTTCGTGTTCCCTAATACGAGGGAACGCTTACAGGCATAAAGCACGTCCTAGGTACAGTCAGGCATCATTAACCCGGAAGTTGCATCCCTCTGACTCTGAACCCACGGTAGAACAGAACTTTGTGGCTGGCCTTTGCACCACATATTTAAAAAGGCTTGCTAAGCAAGTTGATGGGGGTAAATACAACTGCAAGGCAAATGTTTAACTTTCTAAAGAAAATAAACCCTTTTAAAAGAGGTTTAACTTAATCAGCACCAAACCAAGCCATGGAAAATGAATGTGCTATTTATGAACCTATCCTTGAAGTGAGCCCTGGAAGATCAATTACACTTTGTTATTCATGAATTCATACTGTCAAACATACCCTGCTGGAGCAGGCGCAGAGCCTGGCAGCTAAGACACCCGAGTACCTGGGTTTCCATTCTGGTTCTAGCTTTCTGCTAATGCAGATTCTGGGACGCTGCAACGATGGTTCAAGTTCCGACTTGGGCTCCTGCCACCCATGTGGGAGGCATACATTGCATTCCTGTGTCCAGGCTCCGGCTGCAGCCCTGGCCTCGCCCTGGCAGCTACAGGCATCCGGGGAAGGAACGCATGCATAGGAGTGCCCCCTCCCTCCTCTCTCTCTCTCTGCCTCTCAAGTAAAAAAATCTTTTAAAATACATTCTTTGTTTCAAAAACAGCATTTCTCTCAAATAGCTGGCAGTTCTGAATGCTCCACTAAGCACTCGAGCCTTTGCTGGGTATTCCAACCTGGCGTGGCTGCACCCCATTTAACCAATTCCAGCTGAAAGGCCTGCTGTGTCATTAGACGTGTCTGGAAAAGAATGATGTTCAATTTTTAGAAGCTCAAAACCCATTAGAAATGCATCTTCTTGGAGAACTGCACAGGAAAACCCTGCTCACCCCAGACCCAATGCAGGCAGTCCTTGCATCCTGATGGGAGTATGGTAATAATCCGGTCCCCTGAATCCAGCAGAGCTGGCCAAGGAGGGACAAGGGACTCACTGGAATCTTGGAAGCACTTGTCACAGCAAGTGAACACAGTTCCCCGCAGGGGACCTCTGATCGTTTGATTGTAGAGATGATCTGTCTATTTTAGAGCATGCCCTACAATCCCTTTCGCGCAGACCTGGGCCTGGGCTTGGGGCACAGTGAAGCTGTACTGGGTAAGGAGAGATAAGACCAGGAAAAGAACTTTTAAAGATGCCAGAGAAACTTCAGCAGATAGGAAGAGGACAAGGCATGGAAATCCCTGAGAGAAGGCAGGGACAGACGAAGGGAAATCCCGCCTGGGAAGAGGTGATCGGGAGGTCGAAAGGTCGGCAAATTAAACACTGCCATCTGAGAGCTCTGAGCTCTCCAGCCAGCCTGAAGGAAGAACACCTTGCAACACACCTACAGCGGGGTTCTGTTACAACGCAGGGGAGACTGATGGGGGCTGGGGTGAGGGGAGTAAGCCACAGACACAGCTGGATGGCCCACATTCCACATGGAATGCACGATGTATGCAACAGGAGAACAACGCAATTCCCACGACGGCCTTCCACCAAGTTGAGAAAACGCACCCCAACCCAGCCCATCCTAGTAGCAGTCCAAAGGGCTACCACAGTTCTGAATTCAATGCCAAGTTCTTTCTCTTAAGACTCGCCCAGAGTGTCCAGCAGAGGGAGTCCGAAGGAGGTACTTAATAAAGAGAAAACTGTTTCATTTTAACACTCCAGACTGTGGGAGCGGTGACGGTTACCCCCTCCCCTAGACACAGAGGAACAATGAATGCCCACCACGGTTTCTCCTGTGTGGTTGCAGACTCGGCGGCAGGTTCCATTCTGCACGCTGAAGTGATTAGAAATTGCATTTTGTTTTGTCCCGCGGTTAAATGGACCTTGTGTTCTTCAGAATCAAAGAGGAAAGCCCCTGGAATAACATCTCTCTGTTGCCTTCTAAACAGCCCCTTTGTTTCTAAGAGAGTCCAGAAAAAAAAAAAATATTTACAGCGGATAGGTTATTTACAACCTTGCTATCCAGGGCCTGACTGGTAATTTCATTCCATCCAGAAACCTAATTCGTGCTGGAGCTCTGGAACTATGAACAGATTTTCTTTTCAGATAAGTTTCTTTCTTTCCTTCCTTCTTTTTGAAGGCACCTCTCGTCGGGGAGAGAACAGTGCATACGCCACCCCTGTCTCACTCAACACAACCGCTCTTCGGGTTTGCAGAGGAGCAACTCCTCTTGGTGTCACACAGAACCTCTCGCCTCTCACTGGCCATTTCACCCACAGGCAACAGAACAAAACCGAAAGAAAACCGGATAGACTCAAAGTACCGGGGAGGCTGCTCAAGCAATGATTTCATGAGAGAAACATGTTCGCAAAGGCATGACTGAAGGAAAAAAAAAAAAAAAAAAAAACCGGCACACTCTAGCTGGGGATTCCTCTTACTACAAGCACACACCAAAACACATCCAAGAGTAGAAACTTAGTTGATTCTGGTCTGATTCCGGGCTGCTGGCTGACAGAACGAACCAGAGAGAGAGGAGACAGAGAACAGGCAAGAGTGTGCGGGCCAGGCAAAACAAGCGGGAGCTCTGGCCTCAGGCTCCTTTCTTCCCCCGCGCCCCGCCAGGTGAAGTGCAAGCCCACGAGCTGGCCCCCCAACCGGTCCCGGCTGCCCCCCGACGGCCACCGCAGAACTCCCCTCTGCCTTCCCGCACGCCGCTGCGGGGAGATTTCGGTCAAGCTCATTGTTCTGGCCCGGGTCGCTAATGGACTTTTTTTTCCCCTCTCTACCAACTCCCCCCGCCTCCCCAACACACACACACACACACACCCACCCAGTCACCCACCCACTCCAGCCCACCCCGACCACCTCCCCCCCCGACGCGTGCTGACCCGACGAGGCACCCCTCTCCCCAGGTCCCCCTCAAAGCCAGGAGGCTGGCAGAGAAGAAAGGAGTGAGCGACATGGAGAAGGGGAGCCGCGAGGGCAGCCGAGAAGTAGAAGGGAGAGCCCCGGAAAGGTAGCGCTCTCCGGAGGGGCAGGGCTGGGCCGCATCACCTCCATTGATCACAAATAAATCCGAAAGCCTGGCCCCGCCGCCCCCTCTCCGTCCTTGTCTCGGGGCAGGAGCAACCCCCGCCCCCCCACACACTCCCCGCTTCGCCCCTTCCTCACCCCCTTATCCTCCCCACACCTACCCCCCCACCACCCCGCCCCGGCGCTTTCTCCTCCCTGGAAACAAGATCCTGGGAAATGCCGGATCCCGGTCATTTTCTGGGCCGGGGAGCCCCGCTGCAGTCCGCGGTGGGGTTGGTGGAGAGCCGGCGCTCCACACACACCCCCGCCACCATCCCCCATGGGGAGTGGGGGGCATCGGGCCGGGGAAGGGGAGAGGGGGCGTGGGGAGGGAGGGGGGTCTCTGCCCGGCCAAGGGGGGCGGCGGGCAGAACAAAGCTGCGGGGGCCGCGGCGGCCGGGCGAGCGAGCGAGCGAGCGGGGGGGGGGGGTCGTCCCCTTACCTTCGTACACGGGGGCCATCGGGGCCGGGGTGTCCGCGATTCATGGCAACGGAGCCGGGAAAGCGGCGCGCGAGCTCGGCCCCCCCAGCCTCAGTCGGAATCTGCCATCTTGAGCCTGTGTCTCCGCTCTCGGCGCAGCCGAGGCCGCCAGCGCCCGCATCACCGCCTCACTTGGCCGGCGCCGGGGGAGGGGGCCGGGCGGGCGCGCCACCGCCGCTACCGCTACCGCCGCCGCCGCCACCGCGGCCCGGGCCCTGCGCGACGGGCTCGGGCGGCTGGGCGGCCCGGCGGGCGGAGCGGCTGAGGGGGCCGAGCGGGCCGAGCGGGTCCGCGGAGGGGCGGGAGCCAGGGGCGGGCTGCGCGCGGCCAGGGCCCGGCCGGAGCTCAGCTCAGCATGGCTGTGCGTGTGTGTGTGTGTGTGTGTGGTGTGTGGTGTGTGTGTGGTGTGTGTGGAGAAGGGGGGTGCTTCGGCAAAAGTTGCTCGGGAGGAGGAGGAGGAGAGGGGAGGGGAGGAGGGGCGGCGCGGCCGAGCGAGCGAGCGAGCCGGGAAGAGCCACAGGGAGTCCGCGCGCAATCGAGCGCCGATGGCACGGATGCGAGGTGGGAAGGCCGAGCCGAGGGCAGGCCGGGCTGAGGGCGGCGGGCAGAACGCAGGGGCGCAGGGCCAGCAGAAGTTTGTGATGGGGAGGCCCCTCCCGGCTCAGCGGGAGCGCTTGGCAGCCGGTGGCGCCCCCAGAGAGACACGGCGTGTGTGGGGAAGGCACGAGGAGCCGCTGCTCGCCGTCCCCCGCGGCAGGAGGAGGACGGAGCCAAGGGGCTTCCGAAATCCACCTGGACCAGAGCCTTAGGGCGCTCCCTCTGCGGGCATCGGCCCTGCAGCGCTGTCCTGCGCGTCGCCATCCCCAGGCATCCCCTAGGAGACATCCCACCTACCCGGTTCCCCGGGCCTGATCCGAGCCCCCAGCCCCAGCCCTAGCCATTCAACCCCGGTGGTCTCCTGCTCGCCTGGGCAGGATGCCCCGCGTCGCCTCCAACTTTAGGAGGACTTGTTGAGCCTCTTCCTCTCTGGCTCTGTTTTATTCAAATGGTGGGTCGTGATGCAGGAGTAGATCATAAAAATACATGAGTGGAATAAAATCCGAAGACCGTGAGTCCATCGCCCTTAGCAAGGACGATGGATGTGTGGTGAACCCTTTGTTTCCGTTGCATAAAAACTGTACCAGTGCGCTGAACCGTAATGAAATTGCATTGCCTGCTTGAAGGTGGTGAGTCTCAAAAATGAAAAGCAGAAAGGCTGTCTTTGGGGATGTAACAAATGCTTTCTAACACGGTGCAAGCAAATTATGATTTTCTCACTTCTGATTAACCTCTCTGTAAGTCCCATACGCCATGACCAGTCAGTCCCCATCCCCCACTGCTTACCAGGTCTGGGTAGTGGGGCTACACGCCCGCTTCCTTTCAGGACCATCTTGGCACCTGCTGTTCCTTCTTGGCCATGATTGCAAGCAAGGCTGCCCTTCCTAGGGCTTCCCTTGGCCTAATGTCATTGGTCCTGGCAGAATCCCTTTAGACTCCTGTGGCTCGCAGGGACCTCAGAGATCCCCTGAGCCAGCCCTCCTCTTTCAGAGGTGAACTGAGGCCTGGAAAAGTCAAGTGCATTGCCTAACATCACAGTGGGTTGAATCTGAGGATTAGATCTCTGAGCTCCTGCTCTGCGGGGCTTTGTTTACCCAGTTCCTTCATCCCTTCTCTTCCAACCTTCCCACAATCCTTGACTGATCTCCCTGATTTGGGCCTTGGTCCCACTCCTGCTAAGTACTGCCATCTTCTTGTCATTTGCACTGCCCCAACTGTGTACCTGAAAGGACTTGACCCCTGCACGAAGAGCTGTTTCCCAGCTCCTTGGCTGCCAATCAAGACAGGCAGGTCCTGACTTACCTTGAGGATCCGAGTTCAGTAAGTCACCGCCTCTCTGGCCAGACAAGTTTACTTGTGGTCCTCTGCCAGCCTTGCCCATTAAGGATCTTTGCTTAAACTGTCACTTTTCTACCAGGGATCTCTTCTCTAGCTTTTCTAACTAAAATCCACCTACACCTGCTTTGTTCCCTGCAGCGCGCAGCCTGCACAGGTGCATGGGAGTGAGACAGGACTCTCTTTGAGTTGCACTTTTCCAACTGGCTGTGTGCACTTGATTCACTTGCTTAACTTCTGTCAAACCCAGTCTCTGCCTGTTGGTTGTAATGAGAGTATTGAGTATTAGTTTGTTGAGTATTAGTTTTGTTGAGTATTAGTTGAGTATTGAGAGTAATGAGTATTAGTTTTCTCCCTTTACATCTATACTTCTCCACCACAGCCTTTGCCATTGAAAGCATATACATACCTAGTGTTTCTCTGTGTCTTCTCAGTGCCAATCAGTAGAACTGTCTACAGTGATGGCAATGAGCTGCTTTGGCTGTGGATCACATGAACGATGACTGATGAATCTCATGGTTTAGTAGCCGCAGGTGGCTCGTGGTTACCATATTGGACAGTGCATCTGTAGCCTGTAGACTCAAGGGGAGGAAAAATAAAAATAAAACATGTATGATTGGCTTGCCTTTGCATTCCTAGTAACTACATTGTGTGGCACAAAGCAGGTAGGTACTGCACAAATATTGGCTAAATGGATGATATAGGTCCTGAGGTGATACTAGGTTGGAGAGAGTTTGTATGGCATTTGGGTACATAGTACGGGTTCAATAAAAGCTGGTTGTTTTTTTTTCTATGTGTCTTGTAAAGACACCGGCTCATGTCTACACTTCCAAAGCATTTCTTGCCTATAGCACACACTTGTCCCATGGCCTAGCTCACCCTAGATGGCCGACTCTCCCCTTCTGTGTAGGTACCCTAGGTTGGCAACTCCTTGGGGCAAGATCCCTGGCATCTTCTCTTGGATGCCGCTGAGCTCTGCATCTGCCGGAGTCCAGCTCCAGCTGAGTTCGGAACTCGCGAAGGGTGCGTGGATGAGGCGTAAAGAGGAAAGAAAGAGACGGACCACTAGGACTTCATGATCATAATGGACAAAAGCTGTCCGCTTTATTTATACAAAATCAGTCAAATTCTGGCTCAGACTTTTTACGTCATGACCAAGTGGGTGTTTCTAAGGATAATTCTGCCATTAGTTTTACCTAGAAACAATAGAGGTTCCTGCTAACATTACCTAGAATTTCCTGCTACGATTCTTATTCTACAACTCAATCTTGTACCACAAAGAAAAGGGGAGTCTAAAGAATGAGGAAAGAATGAAGGCCTAAATCTAGATCCCTTGATCAGCATAGGTTCAATGGGCACAGCCAAGACAGTAGGAATGATAAAGGGTCCCATTTGCAAGACACTGACCTCCAAGCTCAGGCTGAGCAAAAGGTTAACCTCGCAGTAGCAAATGCCAGGATGGATTACAATTCTTCCGCAGGGTGGTCCAGTGTCCATGCAAAAGAAGGTGGAGTTGCATTCAGGTGGTTGTAGAGACATCCTCCGGGTGGGCCCTGCCGAACAGCGGGAAATTCCTTGCGGCCCTGCCTGCAATGGAACACTCTTCACCCCCTCAGGTCCTCCACATCTACTGCACGGACCCCAACATGCATCGATTAGTGCCCAGTACTTGGCTCTAGCTCTATGTGACAGCCTTGGCTGTTGTGATTCTGAGTAGTTTTCCTTTCTGGAGTACTGCCCCATCCTCAACCCCACAGTGATCCCAAAGGAGATCACTTTGTCAACTGGAAAGAGCTGAGGGTGATCTCCTTCCCATGGAAAGGGGACTTTCCTGGACAAGGAAGTGGAGTCCCCTGAAGGAGAATAAATGTGCCACAAAGGTGGACACTCACCTCCTCTTCAGAACACCACCATGGCCACAGCGGTCTCTGAGTGACACAAAAACTCAGGAAAACTCACTCAGTTGAGCAAACAAACTTGGTAGCAAGTAGATTGAAAAATTCATTTACTGAAATGAATTGAGATTCTATTTTCCGTTGTTGGCAGAGTGAGTACACCTAATTGCCTCCTTTTCCTCTGATCACTGAAATCAAACGGATGCAACTCCCAGCCCTAACAGTAACATACACTGAAGAGGGGGTGGAGCTATGGTGCTACAGGTTAAACTGTGGCCCCTGAGGATGCCCACAACCCATAGCAGAATGCCTGGTTTGAGTTCTGGCTGCTCCTGCTTCTGTTCCAGCTTTCTGCTGGTGCACCTGCGAGAGGATGCTGGCTCAGGTATCTGGGTCCTTGCCAGCCACATGGAGGAAGACTCAGAGTTCTAAACCCCTGTCTTCAGCCTGGCCCAACCCTGGTTATTTCAGGAATCTGAAAAGTCAGCAGAGAGAGGAAGAGATGACTGAGAGAAAGGGAGGAGAAGAAAGAGTGTGAAAGCAAGACAGTGAGAGGATCTGAGACAACCCTGGAGCTCGTCAGTAATCAATGGATGAGAAAGAGGGGAAAATTCAGTGGAGGGGAAGGGAGAGAAGTACAACAGCTGGGGGAAAGTGAGACTTTGATATTCCAGGGCAAAAGTCACTTGAAGCATGGTCAGTAATGCTGTGAGCTACTGAGAGAGCACAAAAGATGAATATGGATAGTTATCCATTGGCTTTAGCAACGAGAGTTGTACTAGTAACGTTGATGAGACTACTAATTTCAAGAGAAGCCTAAGGCTCTCAAATTCTGCCTGAAACACGCAAGTATTGATAGGGAGTGGGATGTGCAGGGCTGGCAGGCACCAGAAGAGGGCACTAGAGAGCATTTTGGCTGGAGAGTAAGGCTAAAATCCAGGCACTGAAATGGGTTCCCAAACAGTGCCTTTTGGCTGTAGATGCTATGTGCTATATTTTATTCATTTAATAAACATATGAGAGCTTAGTGTTTTAAGAGGTTTACAGATCATGCTGGGCTGGGGACCTTTCCCACCCGGGGCAGGTGGCTCCTCGGGTCTCCAGGCAGCACACTCTGGGGATTTGAAGGTGTGGATTTGTAAGGGGACTGGGGGATCGCAAAGGTGAGGGTGAACAATGACTCGTGACTTCATGCCCATGTGAGGAATTACTGCTGAGGGGCAATCATGGACGGGGGCATTGTATGTGTAGGTAAGTAAGGGGCTGAGACCAAATATGGTTTGGAGGGGGAACAGGAGGGCCTTTGAAGGTCAGGGTGTAGGACTAGCACACATGTGAGATCTGAGCTGGGGTAGTTAGCATAGACC